CAGTAAGTAAAATCTAGGTAGAAAAAGGGAAAAAATGTTTTTCTAACTTTTAGTTTGAGAAATATTTAAAATTTGGTCCAGTTCTACTAAATTTGGTCCAGTTCTACTTCCTATCCATCTGGGTAAAAGTATAGACTATAAAATAAAACAAACTAATTTCAAATCCTCTTCCTTTTCTGCTCTGCTTTTCAAGTGAGGAGAGGGGAGATGAAAAGGCCAGGGAAACAGAAAAAGGGGAAATAAGAACTGCCTATCCAGTAATGAGCACTTTTCTGTTCTCATGCTTCTGCTTTTTGAAATTAGGAGCTTAATAAAGTCTAAATCTTCTATCACTTTCCTCAAGAGAACAGCACATACGAAAATTGTTCTCAAGTTGGAGGAGATGTATTTTAATTGGGATGTAAAGGACGGAGAAGATTTAGATAAGTTAAAAAATAAGTTCACAAATAAGAAGCAATGAAAAGTCAACTGTAGGTTCTTTCAACAAGGCATGATTTAGTGTAAGACATGCTCTCTAAATGTCAGTAATAGCAAACAGGCAAGAAAAAAAATGATGCTATGCATCCACAGTAAGCATGTGTGTTCAGCATTAGTGTACAATATATAATAGCTGTCATTTATTGGATGATGACAAAGTGGCATACACATGTTAAGTGATATATGTAAAAACATATATTAAGTGATTTATGTCGTATGTAATATAGGATATACACATATAATTTTATCAGTCAGGAGAATTAATCCACAGAATGGCTTAATTGCACTAAGGGTATCCCTAACAAAAAACAAGAAGAAATCTGTTTAGGTGGTCAGGAAAGCTGACATAGAAGTGTGGAGAGGGGCAGGGTTTTACTACAGATACACAAGAACAAATACACTGATCAAGAATCCATAGCAGTATGTATCCAAGTCAGTCAGCCAGGTGATTCACCATGTGAACAAAATTAAGAGTACCTTAGACAATGAGAAATAATTTAACTTACTAGCTTAGTACAGTTTCATCTTTAATATTTATATTCCACACCAAAAGCAAGATAAGCCATCTGTTAAACAGCCTTATATTATAAGAGATGTCAACAGTAAAAAAAGAAACTTATTTCCCACAATTTAGAGGATTTGGGTATATACTAACAAAACTCATTTGCAGTATTGGTGGTTATAGTCCTTTTAGGAGGGCCATATATAATGTTTAGTATTAGTGAAAATAAAAATTTGACTAAAACTCATTCAGTCTAGTTCTTGCCTCTTTTCAGGTCTCTTCTTCAAGTAGTCCATACACACTGCACAGGAGGAAAATACAGGCTATCAAGTTGGCCTTAAGTCTGAACCAGGAAAGCAAAGCTTATAGCAACCAAACATTTTTGCTGAGTAGAATGGATTTGCAAATTTTCTTTTTTTTTTTTAATTATTATTACTATTTTTTTTTCAATGTTTATTTATTTTTGGGACAGAGAGAGACAGAGCATGAACGGGCGAGGGGCAGAGAGAGAGGGAGACACAGAATCGGAAACAGGCTCCAGGCTCTGAGCCATCAGCCCAGAGCCCGACGCGGGGCTCGAACTCACGGACCGCGAGATCGTGACCTGGCTGAAGTCGGACGCTTTAACCGACTGCGCCACCCAGGCGCCCCTATTACTATTTTTTTTTTTTTTAGAGAGAAAGCACGAGTGAGAGAGAGGGGCTAAAGGAGACAGAGACAGAGAGAGAGAGAGAGAGAGAGAGAGAGAGAGAGAGAGAGAAACTCAAGCAGGTGCCACACTGAGCTTGGAATCCAGCAAGGGCTTGATCCCACGACCTAGGATCATTACCTGAGCCAAAATCAAGAGTTGGACACTCAACCAATGGTGCCCCTAGAAGGGATATGTATGTATGGGTGGAGGGTGGGAAGCAACCAAGATTGTTTTAATTACTTCCATAATTCATTACAATCAGAAGGTTAAGGAAAGAATGGGATACATTTGTCACTGAATCTAGCTCAAATGTTCCATGAAATTTTTCTGGTTGTATCCTTCCTCCTAGATAAAGCAATCATTTTGGCATAGTTATCATCAACAAACAAACTGAGTAGCAATCTAAAACAACTGCCACGTGGCCAAAAGGGCTGGATTAGCCGTAGCGTGATACTAGGACCAATATCATCAGGAAGCTCCTGTTCTTTCACTATCATAACCATTTATAACTTACTTGCCATCACAGTGCTGTAATCAATTTTCTTTCCATAGACATGGACTAGGCTTTGCTTGATCGGATACAAGTGTTTTCTAATTCTTTTCTATTAGTCTTAAAAATGTACAAAATATCTTAATCAGAATATTTGATAAACGATTCAGGAAGTCAGGAGTTACGAGAAATTAATAACTAGATTTTAAACCATTGAGAACACAGGAATAGGGAATCTAAAAAAACAAAAGCAAACTAAAAAAGACATGTATGACAAATTTGATAGAGTTCCTCTTATATATCTTCTGTGGCTTAAGAGTTAGCATTACTTAAATAGCTTAAATCTTTTGGATTATTTAGACCTCTTTCCTCCCTCATTCTCTTCCAGCTGGTGAACATTCGTACAAAGATTTCCTTTTTTCAGTTTTTCTTTGGTGGCATAGAATTAATCTAATGTGTCTCTACTAAAATCTTGGCCAAAATCCTACAGCTAGTTTTTAATCTGTATTTCTCCTTGTTTGTTTGTTTTTTTTTTTAATTTTTTTTTCAACGTTTATTTATTTTCGGGACAGAGAGAGACAGAGCATGAACGGGGGAGGGGCAGAGAGAGAGGGAGACACAGAATCGGAAACAGGCTCCAGGCTCCGAGCCATCAGCCCAGAGCCATCAGCCCAGAGCCCGACGCGGGGCTCGAACTCACGGACCGCGAGATCGTGACCTGGCTAAAGTCGGACGCTTAACCCACTGCGCCACCCAGGCGCCCCCCTCTCCTTGTTTTTAAAACCAGATATTACTTGTGCTTTTGAAGGATTACACAGTTCCCTGGTTAGTTAAAATTGGTATCTTAGCAATTTTCTACCAAAAATGTGAAAGTAATTATATTATAGGGCAGTCCATAGGAGTCACACAGGACAGAAACCAGTGATATATGTTCTTTCCTGACATTTCCATCAGTGGTTTCAAGAAAACATCAATAGTCATTCTTATTTAGGAGGTTGTATTATCTGTCTGTATTAGAATATTAGAGCTTCAAATGTATTAGAACATTATTCCTGGGTCCTACCATCTAAGACACTGCTTTAGAGTATACTTGGGCTTTATAGTGTGTTTTAAGTTCTACAGGTAAAAGTTGCTACATCAAGTTACCCCTTAAATAAATGTTTCTGAAGGGCTGGTCCTCACATTCATTTTAGTCCATTACAAAGTTTTCACTGGATCATAGTGAAATGAGAAACAAGAAAAGCTAAACATCCTATGTTTAATTTATAAATTGTTGTCCCTCACTTCCACTCTCCCCACTTCTTTTGATGTTCAAATCGTCTCCCTTTTGTTAAATAATGTTAACAAAACATTACTAGAATGGTAGAAATTCATAATAAGATACTGACTTGGCAAAATAAAAAGTTGGCAATGCTATACAGATATCCCACCCACTCTAACTTTTTGAAATTTTACAGATCTGTGAAATTCAAAACTCTATATATCTCTCTCTTTAAAGGATTTAAAATAAGAAACATTAGAAAGCTTCAGTAAATGGGAGGGACGGTACATTGGTGCCATCTTCTAAGGTCTGGGAAACATAACCAAATTCCAATTCAGGAATTATCTGAAAGATTCTCCACTTCTCTATCTTCTCTAATAAGTTCCATGCCTTGTTACTTACTTTCTCCCTCTGGTCCTATCCTATTCTGGTCCTATCCCTGTTTCCTATTCTATTCAGTTATCAATTTATGCTTTTTTGGGTTTTTTTGTTTTGTTTTGATTTCTAAGTATTGCTCTATATACTCTCCCTCTTACTAACTTTCCAAAGTTATGTCTTCTTTTTTTTATTTAAAAAAAATTTTTTTTATACATTTATTTATTTTTGATAGACAGAGAGAAACAGAGCACAAGTAGGGGAGGGGCAGAGAGAGAAGGAGACACAGAATCTGAAACAGGCTCCAGGCTCCGGGCTGTCAGCACAGAGCCTGATGCGGAGCTCAAACTCACAAACTGTGAGATCATGACCTGAGCCAAAGTCGGACACTTAACTGACTGAGCCACCCAGGTGCCCCCCAAAGTTATATCTTCTAAATAAGTTCCCCAAATCTAAATTATTCTACAAGTTTCTTAAGTCCATATTTTCCCTTATTACTTGAATTTCCAAAGGCATTTTCTCTGTTTTCTCTTTTGTTTTCTTTTTTAAAAAGGTAATATGTTCATCATAGAAAATTTAAAGAATGACAAAAAAAATCACACAGAAAAGATGAAAACAAACCATAATTCTACCAATTAGATATAAGTATTATTAATATTCTGGTCATATTCAGTCAATGCTGGAATGATACCCTATATACTGTCATTAAATACCTTTAAATAGGAATTTTTAAATGTTTGTATAGTCTACCTAAAGACTGTCATAATTTATTTAAGCAACCTCTTGGCTCAACTATTTTTTTTTTTTTTAACAAGGAGAGTTTAAAAACTAGTATCTCTTACTTATTTCTTGATACCAAATCAGAGCACAATAAAATTAATAAAATCAAAGTAACAAACAAAACAGAAACCAGCCACATGTCAAAAATCAAAAGGTCATAACAGTTGCATCCTTTTAATTATATAGAATAATACCTGATTAAATATTCCATTGAAATGTTATTCAGCTTTACCCTCTTCGTTATGTTTTTTGGAACTTCATTTATAGAGAACTTTCTATGTGTTGACTAGGCTAAGCTTCATATTAACTTCTCGAATGTTTTAAACAAATGATTACACAAAACAAAAATAAGTTAGATATGTAACAAACTAGCAATCCTAGATTCATATATTTGAATATTAAAAACATTTGAATTTTTATTTACCTTGAACAAATCTGACACAATGATTGAAGAGAAACACTGGGCATATAGGTTAAGGCAGCATTGTAACACAACAAAAGGAATGTCAATACTTCAAACCTAAAGATAAACCAAAAGAATATTTATAAATCTTTAGAATTCCAAGAAGTCAATCATAATTTAGCAGGCATTGGGGAAAAATACTATATTACAGAACAGACTTATACAATATAATTATACCAGTAATGATACAAAACTAAAAAGAAAAAAGACTTCCCAAGTAACAGTCATCTGAAAATGATCTCAAAATTTCAGTGTTCCAGATGACATCCGAATCCAAGTACAAAATAACAAATTAGGAAAGCATGTTTTTCCCTTGTATAAAATGACCCAATATTTAAAACAACAACAACAACAACAACAACAACAAAAAACCTGTTACATACAACTCATTAAAGATTACCTATAAAGGTACTGAAATAATTTTTTAAAAACCAGTGTGGTGGATTAGAATAGTGGGTTATGTCTCCACAGTGTACCTATTCTGTGCTGTCAACATCTCCCTTTGGGGGTGAGGTCCACTGTACACAACTTTCGACAAACCATGCTGGGATAGCGCACTCTCAGTCAGAGCCATGGACCCAATGCTGGAAGGCTGAAGAAGAGACATTTGAATGAAGGGAAAAAAAGCCATTCTGTTGAAAATGTGACATTAAGAATATATGCGCCACTAAGAATGATGGCCACGAACATCATATGTCTTAAAAATATTCCAACTGCATACTAAATTTTCTGCTCAAATATTTCACAAATAATTAAAATACAAACCACAAATAGAAATAAAATAATTTACTTTCAAAAAGTCTACCTCACCGCTGGTGAATTAAAATAAAAACTTAATTAAAAAATTCTACCCCAGAAATACACAACTGCCACACACAAAAATATTAGACTAGTTTTATTGATCAGAGAAAATACTTCAAAATGATTATTTTTGATAGCTTTCTTGTAATCAGATTTTAAAGCTTTATGATACTGAGTTCTCATTTCACTTAGGGTATAGTAAATACTTTGTGTGGTGTTTTACACTTTTTAAGGTACTAATAAATCAATCTTTTTTTTTTTTTTTTGCCTCAATAACCAGACCCTAATTTATAACACCTTCAAATCTTAGAACTAAAAAATTTACTTTGATAAAATATTACTTACTTCATGATATACAGATGGTTTGGATAAAGACGGAATCGTAAAACTCAATACTTTGCTATGTCCCTGTTTGTCAACTATTTCCTATAAAAGTGAAAAAAAAACTTAAAATATTTATTTTTTACACATAAGTTTAAGAGCTAACTTTAAACTGTTAGTCTAAGAAAAAAAGATCTGAGAGGAAAGGAATTTTAAAGTTGACTAAAATCATAAACTAAGACAATCAATGATCAATTATTTATAAACAACAGGAGTTAACCTTCCTTTTTAAGATACAAGTAAGATATAAGTAAAGAAAGATACAAGGTACAAGAAAGATATAAGGAACACAGTTTTAAGGAAGGCTGAAATAGAGATATGTAGTGTCTTAATAATCACTGATTTTTCTCATGTAAAAAGTCACATTTTCTAAATTCATTAACATAGTTATGAAATATGTCAAGAAAAGGCCCTTAAATTTCTTTTTAAGAAAGTACAAATCTTAAATATGTAGAATATCATATTGATTAATAAACAAAGAGTAATGCAAACTATATGTTAAATCAATGGTTTGAACTCTGGTGATAGTCCAGATTTTATGAAATTATTAGTGGCACATATTAGACTAGATCTTTTTTCCCAAGCTTTTTGTGAAGGTCACTAACAGACAATTTACAGACAATAGATTTTAAGTTTAAAAAAATTCGGGGCGCCTGGGTGGATCAGTCGGTTAAGCATCCGACTTCAGCTCAGGTCACGATCTCGCGGTCCGTGAGTTCGAGCCCCGCGTTGGGGTCTGGGCTGATGACCCAGAGCCTGGAGCCTGCTTCCGATTCTGTGTCTCCCTCTCTCTCTGCCCCTCCCCTGTTCATGCTCTGTCTCTCTCTCTGTCTCAAAAATAAATAAACGTTAAAAAAAATTAAAAAAAAAAATCAACACTGATATTTTGAGATACCTCTATAAAAGAACTGAAATGGTCTGATTTTCAGTCTTCAATCAACTCCAAAAAATATATTTACATAGTTATATGTATGCCTGTATAGCCTTCAACCTCAATAAAGTTATTTTTAGGAGAATGAGATAGGAGTCATTTGATGTATGAAAAACAAATACTAGCTTCACTAAAATGAAAAGTAGTTGCTATTATGTCTTCACGTTTGCTATAAAAGTTATAGATCTGCTTTTGGCAAACACTTGTTAACTACATTAAATACAAACCAAATTGTAAACCCCTAGAAGAAGAGCTTCGATACATCCACTGCTATGCACATTTCTGCTGGCTGAGACTGCAAGGTAGCACCAAATCAATTCTGGAAGAAATTGCAGTGTAAATCGAAGCAACTGCTCTTCTCCACTGCGATAGAATTCAAAGAGCTGGTGACAGACGGGTTCTAGCAACTGGAAAAAAGACCAAGTGTTAATTCAAGGGTTCCACTGCATTTGAATAGACACTGACATATGAAATATAAATGGTTTTTCCTTGTTGGTAATTACTGAAATATATAAATGTTTTCATTTTTTTGGAAGCAAAACTATTCACTGTTAAGCTATTTAGCAAACCTTTGAAAGTTTACTTCTAGTGGAAGGTCAAACAGTTCAAAATAAACGTACTTGAAAGCACTTAATAAACTTTTAAATATCCTATAACTCTAAAGTAGTATTGGTATTTAAACCATATCTTTTTAACTTATTAAAATAGCTAGGCTAGGGCTCCTGGGTGGCTCAGTCGGTTAAGCGTCCGACTTTGGCTCAGGTCATGATCTCACAGTTCGTGGGTTCAAGCCCCGCATCAGGCTCTGTGCTGACCGCTTGCTCAGAGCCTGGAGCTGCTTCAGATTCTGTGTCTCCCTCTCTCTCTCTTTGCCCCTCCCCTGCTCACACTCTGTCTCACTCTGTTTCTCAAAAATAAATAAATGTAAAAAAAAATTTTTTTTTTAAATAGCTAGGCTATAAGAAGTTTCTTCCTTAATATCCTTAATATCCTACTTCCTGATAAAACATGCCAATATATACATGATTGGCTACTGGGATGGAGAAATTGAAATGGGAATGCTAGGTAGTTATCATCACATCACCCTCCTGAGCTTATAATTAGGCAGCATACGACAGCTATGTGTGTGGAGTAGCTGAATAATTACTGCACCCCTAAATCTAGATCCCTATTGTAACCATGGTTAATTGCCCCTGGATAATCTAAACATTGCTGCCGTTTTGTTTGAAACATGATTTAAAGTTATTTTTAACCTATTCCTCTCCCACCACATGCCAGCGTTACCCAGTCAATAGAGCTGACTGTATCTATATCATAGACATTTTTTTAATCAGAAAGTTAACATAAGTGACTCATATGTAAGTATTACCTGAAAGCATATACAATGATCACACACAAGTCATAAATATGTCACAGGATACTGATTTTTCAAAGCATCAAGCTATTATATTTTCAATGGACTATAGTTCATTCATTTTGCTAACTTAGGCAATAGATTTAAGTCAATTTACTAAACTGATTTTCTACTTCCAGTAATTATAATAAACAGAAACTAATTTACAGGAGATGTTATGATTTCAAATATGCTAAATATGTAATGTATACTGGGTATAATTAAAGTCAGTATTATTTATAACAAGGTATAGCAAAATTTACACTTTAATGAACATTAAGTCAAACTAGTCTTTCCTACTGAAAAATTATCTAACTTCTGACAGTTAAGGAGTATTTTTTTTCACTCTCAAAATGGTTGTTAGAGGGCAACAGGTGTCCACTGTGGTATGACAAGGGTAACAGGAAACTGGAAAGTTAGAGGAAAAGTAACCCTACTCATACATAGCTAGAGAAGTTTTCAAGGTAGAAATTTGGAATAATTGGGTTGGGGTAGCAGGCAAAAAGAAAAACTGGTAGGGAGATGTTTAGCTTTCAGGGGGGAGTTTTTAAAATTTCTTTGTGGGCCAGTGTCAATAATCTTGTATTATTGTAGAACATCCGTCATCTCTAAATACCTACGAGTGTTTTGGTTAAATCAATTGATATAATCTAACAAGTATCTGCAAAATTATAAAATCTTATGTTAAAAATTTATTCAATAATCGGCATGAACACATAAATAAATTTTAATCAGAACACCCTCCAAAGACCTTATAACCAATTTAAAATCCAAAATTAAAAGGGCTTTTGCTTTACGAAAGCATAACCAAATGAAGACAGATTCAATGGGGTGGAGAAATTATGATACTGCAGTGAGATTAAATGAAATTATGTATATCAAACCAAGAGAGAGAGAAATACCAATTATCTGTGCAATGTTTTATAACTTGCAAAGCACTTTCAAAGCACTTGAACCTATTCAATTCCCACAACATTGTAAGGTAGAATATCATTATCCATACTTTCTACATGGAAATTGAGACAAAGAGGCCATCTAATATGACCAAAATTATGCAGCTCACAAAGCTCAGAACTGCAGCCAACACTTTTTGACTCCTTTACAAACACACCTGAAAAATATCAGAAAAGAATAGAAAGATACATAATGTATGAAATATAGGTAGTATTTGGCTTATCTAACTTGAATATATTTGAGACAAGTAATGGAGCATTAGAACATGCTATGTTACTAGTGTTTGGTTCGAATTTTTATATGTATTTTCTCATGGATATATTGTTCTATTTGGTGGGTGGATTTTACAGTACTATTAAGAAAGAACTGTACCTCAAGTATATTTTCAGGTGTTAAATGGGCTTTTTATGGATCTAATGAGAATCTAATCATAACCTTATTACCATTCTAAAATATATTCTAAATTCTAAAAGAAGTTACAAATGAAATTTTTACAAAAATCTATTTTTAGATAAGAAGTCTGTATCCTAAGATTTTCTTTCTTTCTTTCTTTCTTTCTTTCTTTCTTTCTTTCTTTCTTTCTTTCTTTCTTTCTTTCTTCCTCCCTCCTCCCTCCCTCCCTTCTTTCCCTCCCTCCCTCCCTTCTTTCCCTTCCTT